GTTTTTATTGCTTTAGTTCAGAGAAGGAAGCAAAAAGAAAAAAATATACAAAAGTATAGTGGTACCTCGGGATACGAACGCCTCTACTAACGAACTTTTCGGGTTACGACCAACTCGGGATACGCCCAGAGTCACGGAACAGATTAAGTTCGTATCCCGAGGTACCACTGTACATGGTTTTTTTTTTAATTAGTTTTTAAACAAAGTATTTAAGTCAAATCTTTATTAGTCAAATATCAGAAGTTGAAACAATGCATTAGACCACATGATATTGATCATATTGTTCAGTCTTTCTATTACATTGATAAACAGCTGTTTCATAATCTGTGAGCAGATACTTTTTCAATCCAAGACTGTAAATCTGGGGTGGTACAAATTTTAGAAGAGTTTTAAAAGAGTCTTTTTTGCTATGTGCCATTCTCAGTAAATCCATATATTGATAAAGCCAAATGGTTGTTACACAATTCAAATTCACATCTTTGAATTATATTACTCTTCCCAGAACGATATTAATAAATTTATGAATATTAAACCAAAATTGGCAGTTGGGGCCAAGTCTATATCATATGTGTATCTCCTCCATTATTTTACATTTTCAGCATAATGGAGTTGACGGCCAACATTCTCTGCAATGTCCAATAAACATGAAAAATATTTTGTTGAATTATTCTCTCTGTAAGACAATAAGAAACATACTTAATATCCTTTAGGACCTGTAACCATTGGTTTATCACAACTCTTTATTTCAAATAACTGAAAATATTCTAATTGTCTGGAAAAAATACTGTAGATTTAGAATCAACCAAAACATATTTCAGTGTTGATAACGTAGGAGTTTTAAATGCTGCTGATGCATCTGAATTAAACTGTGAAATCAGAAGATCAGTTTTAAATGTGTGTATTGCCTTTCCCCAGTTTTAGATAGTACAGATTTCTCTTGCAATAACTCAAATGGTTTAACATGTAATTGGAAAAAAGCTGATATAAAATATTAATAATGGATTACAAAGGTCTATTAACGTTTGGGAGCTGGCTATATGTATCTTGCGTACAGGTTGAAAAAATCCCATTAAAAGTCAGTGGGATATGAGGCTGGCTGGTGATGTGTAGAATTAAAGCTGTAGATTGTAGCTATATGATATGGTGGGCATGAGACTACTAATAATAGGAGACGGGGGGCAGGGGTTGCATTTGTAAACTTCTTTGTCAATATTTATTTTAGAATAAAATTCAAATATAGGCAGATCTTTCATTCTGTACGCCCTGTCCCACAGGGTGATTGTGATGGTTTCTAGTTCTTGAGAGTTATAGCTTAACTTCTGGGGGAAATTGGGGATAATGTGTTTCTTTCCACAGTCTTAAAGTAGCTTATTTTAGTTTCCAAACAATAGTACTATTAGTTAGAATTTAGGTGAGATATTGTGAATACAGTATAGTTTGCACTAAATGAAAGTATGAACTCCTGCCATTGGCTGAAGGTCCTTTCAGTGCTAAGGATCTTTGCTTTTCTGTCATTACAGACATTTTACTAATATTTAATTAGTGAATTAATTACTAGTTAATTAGTTAAAATTGTGCATATACTGAAATAATCCAGCAAATATTATTTCACAATGGATTTTTTTCTTTTTTCCCATTTGGATAGGCATTTTGTCCCAAACATCACTTTTGGCCATCCTGTTGTAGAGAGTCTTCGGAAGCGGCTGGGTCAGCAGGCCTTTTTTGGTAAGCTCTTATTCTTTAAATTGGTTAATTCTGGGGTTGGAATGAGTGATGTTTGAGTTAACCCCTTTTTGCTTCAGCATTGTTTTGGGCTGTAGCATTGGGCATAAGACATGGAGGAAATGCCATCTGAAGGTGGTTTAAAGCGTCCCATGGGTGACTGTGCCGCATGTGTGAGCATGGCTGGAGAGCCTCTTCTCGAGGTCTTAAAGGGGCCGTGTCCTTTGGAAGACTCTCATGGCTGCATCAGGGGTTGCCGCTGCCTTTTCCCCTGTGTGAGTTTTGCTTCATGATGACCCAGTGGTAGTTGTCTTCCTGTACAGCCACACAAGCACAAATATCTGGGGGCAGCCTTCAAAGAAGCCACCTAAGCCTTGCAGCAGATGGGCCTCCTTTTAATACTTTGAGAATAGGGGGTTCACTCATTCTAGCATCCCTTTGAAGGTTTTGCAAGTAAGAAAAATGGTGAGACATTACAATCTAGTCCATGGGAACATCATTGTGTATTAGAGGACCTCAGCTAATATGTGCTACATATTTTAATTCAAAACTGGTGGACACATTAGAGTTTTCTGTGTTACTGTAAAATTGTACATACATGACAAAGGGAGAGCTCAAACAATGCAGATTGTTCTTGCGGTGTTGTTTCCGTTAATCTGCATGTCGACACTTAATTTAGAATTTGCAGGACTGATACCAAAGAACGAGTACACTAAGGGAGACACCAGGACGTTAATAAATCTTGAAAAAAGGTTTATTGAGTAATTGCCCCTAATCCTATAGCCCCTTTTCCCTATTCCCCCATCCCTTGGAATTCTCCCCTCTTGTTCTGGGATAATTAGCAAAAGGTTTTAATGTTTGTATTTACATTCATTGAAGAAGAAAAGATTACAAGAGAGTCAGCCAGCACACAATGGGGAATATCCATTGAAAGAAATGGCTTGGCACGGGCTGTTTACTTGGCGAGCTGGCGCTGAGATCCCACAAGAAAGCCTTTAGGATGAAGCTGAATAAGGCCTTTGCCAATTTCAGCCAGGCAAGGGTGCTGATTAACTTGGGGCTAGCATTTTTTAGAGGCTAGCTGTGCTACAAAGAAAAACAGTTCAGAAAGAGATAGCCTATTTGAGCAATCTCTCCCCTCTGCAAGGGGGGAAGTTCTGCCAAGGGGAAAAGGGAAGAAACAAAGATACAACTTAAGCAATCAGACACAGGACAAGTTTTTAGTTTTTTTTGTTTTTTGTTTTGGCAAAAAAGCCAAATGATTTGGATTTAGGAGTTTGCTGTTTATAATCAATATTGCATTTAATATTTTGTTTATTCTGTTAAATATTAATCTAGGGTGAGAAGCATGGTACCAGTGGGCACAACAGCACACATGAATGCCCTTTTTTTAAACCCACCAAGACCTCCTGCCCCTTATTTATTTACATGCATGCACATATATGTACACTGTTTTTTTTAAACTGGATTTTAGGAAAGCAGCAGAATTGCAGCTTCTGGGATCCCAGTCTTTTACCTTTCTCTCTCCTAGGTTGCTTCTGGAGTCTATTTTAGAACAGACTCAAAGGAGGGGCAAGTAACATTTTTTCAAGGAGTAGATTTTTACAAGGTCTATGGGCTGCTTTCAGCTCTGTTTTCACCTCCCATGGATTTGCATAAATGAAATGAGGATACTAATTTGATAGTTGAAGCTCAGCATTTCCTCATCTCATGCGTAGTGACCACAACATCAATTGGATCATGATTGATCACATGATTTTTTGTTTAAAATCTACACATTAAAACAAAGAACAGGAATCAGTGGCAGCCAGCCACTGCATTATATCTCTACTACCATCATGACCCAATTTAGCTATAAAACTGTTTTTTTCTCTTCTTCAGTATCCAAGTCTCAGAATATGAAACTTACTTTAAACTTTGAACCAAGAATAATTTATTTCTGAATGAGATACAGATCATGGAGTCAAGAGGTAGCATTCTGTTGAAGACCACATATGATTTCTTTTGCATAGCTCCTACATGTGCCTGTGTCTCAATCCTCCATGATTATGCAAGCACCATGCTGGCCAGAACCATGCTGTTTTTTCAGAATTGTACTATTTGAGATACAGCTATTTATACTTTGATAGAGAAGCCTGGGTTTCTTCCAGGGAAAGAATTCCCAGCCATCACTACTTATAATTCCCATCTGTGGAATGAGATTGGAACTTTCCAAGATGTTGACACTGACCTTTTTCGTAAAATTCTTATGAGATCCCTGGTAATACAGCATCTATCTTCATTAAGATTAGGACAAATCAGTCTAGTATTGACAATCTCAGTTGCTTGGTGAAGATAGCTTCCATCTTGGATTTTTTGCCTTCTGATTTATTACCTGCTTCTATGCAGGCTTTTTTTTGAAGTCCATCAACATCTTTTTCCACTTTGTTGATGTAAGATGTGTCTCTCTTGGTTCTTTTGTAATTGTTTTATTCTGAAATACCTACTTCCTCAGTTTCAACTTCAGTACTAACCTACTTATGGTTGAGATAGTATCACAGATAGCTTTTATGTAAACAGCACTACCAGTATTTTCTATTGTGCTGACTGTCATCATCCTCAACTTGGAAAGAGACTTTCTCCAAATCTAGGTGACCATCCTGTATCTTGTCCTTCAAAAGATCTTGAAGGTTATAGTTCTGCCTTGATATCTTTGGAGGTTTTTTGTCTTCCCTAAATGCCATAGTGGGTGAACAATCTTTTACTTCTTTGATGGAAAATAACAGCAGATTCTCTATGGTAGAATAATTGGAAATAAAAATTTGCTACTCTCCACTGTTAATTCAAGGTTATTTTCTAGCTTATACAAACTAAGTCATCTTTCCCAATCATTATCTCAATGCTATTGGTGTTACTACAGAAGTCTGAATACAGCTGGAATAAGTCCCTGTATGTACTTCTAACTCTGAAGAGACTGGAAAATTAATCCAGAAGAAAGCACATTTTATTTCAAGAAAAGGGTCCTGAGTTTTGCTATAAATTTAAAACATGTAACACTACACAACAAGATAGGGCTGCAAAATGTATTTCACCTCAGTTTTATTTATAAACAAAAGACCAGTGTGACTAAATACCAGTACTTCTTTTGGAAGGAGACAGAAGTGTTCCTAGATCATTTGCTTGGAGATAAAAGTGAGTTTCCAGAATAAACCAAAGAGATTCCTATGCACATTCTAAGTCAGTGGCAAAATCACTGGTTCCTACAGTATGAAACAAGCTAATTGTTCTAACTTGTTTTCATTTATTTTTTTGGTTATCATTGTTTTTGGCTATTTATTTATATGGGGTTTTTTTTTTTTTTAGTTATTTGAACTCTGCGAGCCACCCAGAGTCACGTAAATGAGATGGGTGGCTATATAAGTCAAATCAAATCAAATCAATCGATAAACCAAAATATTCACTTTGTGTACTATAGACTTACAGAAATTATGTTACTGTATTTAAAACTCATTACTTATATTAATGAGTTTTAATAACATTAAATATAAGTAATTTTATTATTATAACTGTAAAATAATAAGGACTGAGGCTGAATGGTGTTTTCCACAATGGAAAAAATTGCCTCCTAAGCCCAGACCAAAAATACATCTAAATAATGAGATAACATCCAAAATACCATACATGTTACTTCATTTTACTTCCTAAATCCAAAGCTTTCGGAGGCTGTTCCAGCCCAGATCCAAGTAGCGCTTTGCTTTGTTTCAACTACAGTCTAGGCCTGCTTATTCCGCTCTGCTCTCTCATGAGCTTTTTCCTGATTTGGGGAGGGGAATCATGTCTCATCTAGACTATTCCTGCTCTAAACTACATCTGTGTCACCTCTTACAATTGGGTACTGCTGACTTGAATCACGGCATACCTTTTCAATCTTTTGGAAGACCCTATTGATCTATTCTTGTCATAGTTTTATGTTATCATTTCTGGGAGCAGACCCTCTTTCACTGGAGATGTATTTATGTCCTTTTCCCTGTTCTCCTAGAAGCTACAGCTAGTGCAAAACACAGGGCTTATCCATCCAGCCTTCTTGTCCCATCTCTGAGATTATCCACTTACCTTTTTTTGAGGATAGTCCTCACAATAGAGCCTGTGTCTTGGGGACAGCCTGCTGCTGAGGCATGATGAAGCTGTATCAAAGCAACCTGGCAGGAAAGTGGTGTATACTACTGGAAAATGGAAGAACACCACCTATAGACCTTCTGGATAACATGGAAGAAGAATCTTTTGCTGGATGCCAACTGTCCTTCTGCAGGACTGCCCCTTCCCATCTGGCTGTGCCTCTATGACCACTTATAGTTGGCTGCCAGAACGAATAGATTCTTTCCCAGTGACTGTGTGAAAAAGCATTTTGCCAACAAGGGAACATTGGGAGCCACAAGGCAACAATGCACAATTACCATGACCTGTGAAGGCAATGCCTCCTGTCAGAACCCAGCCAGACCATGTGCCTGCTGCTGCCTGGGCACTGCAAGCTGCTAGCCAAGGTCTGGGGTGGGGGTGGCAAGCAAAGAGCAGAGGGGAGGACTGGCTTCAGCAGCAAGCCCATCTCCACCTCTGTGGAAGCCAGCCTTGCTGGGGCTGCAGCTAAACTGGATTCTGGCTTTGTTGGCCAGGGCTGCCTGGACAAGAGGAAGAGGGCATCAGTTGAGGTGGTGAGAGATTCCCTTCACTAGATGGCATGACAGTGGCACCAGCAAGGGGTTGTGAGCAGCTCCAGTAGCAGCAAGACATGGTATCCAGATGTACAGCTGCTTTGGGGTCAGCGTGATCCAGTCCAGGCCAATCATTGCCCTGTCAGAAACTTCTCAAGACTAAGGCAGCAACCCTTGAAAGGAGAGGAGAAAGGAGAGGTTTTTCTTGAATTTAAGGTATTAGTGATACCATATAATCCCCAAAACAGATTGATAATGTTGGTATATTTGAGGGAGAGAGCCTACTGATATGTATATACCTGGGTATTAACTGCTAAAAGCTTACCTCTGGGTCCCATCCTAATTATCTCTGCATCCTAATACCAAGCCAGACCATGTTTTATCTTATAAATTAGGACTGCCCTCTGGCTTAGTGATTCAGAAAATATGCAGTCCAGTAATTTGCATTTCTGATCTATTTTGTTGTTTCTAGATATGCATATGATGGTTGCTAGACCAGAACAGTGGGTAAAACCTATGGCTGTAGCTGGTGCAAATCAGTATACCTTTCATATAGAAGCTACAGACAATCCAGGGGCCCTCATCAAAGATATAAGAGAAAATGGAATGAAGGTGAGAAGTTGCCACATAATAGTTTGATCTTCTATATTCTAGGACAGTATTTCCTATATCTCTGATAGATGAGGCATGCTTTATTTTTCTAGTTGTCTTCATTATGTTATGCTATTCTCGACATTTTTTCTAATTGATAGGAATCAAAGCTCAGAGCAGACTGATGCAGAAATAAATGGTACATTCAGCCCCAAGAAAGCAATTCAAGATTGTATTTGGTGTGATTGAGTTCTCCATATGTATCTAATGGCATATATGGGGCAGAATCATTTGAATCTTAGAGGCTGTGCTTAGAAAGAGTTCATGGCAGAGCTATGATGATGGGTGCCTTGTACTGACAGATGCTTTCAAGTACAGGTAGTCCTTGCTTAATGACCACAATAGGGACCTGAAAATTGGTCGTTAAGCAAATCACCATGTGACCAGACCCAATTTTATGACAGTTGTTAAGCAAATCACTAGTCGTTAAGCAAATCCAGCTTTTCCCAATGGATGTTTTTTGAAAGAATTTGCTTAACAGCCAGATTCACTTAACGACTTCTGTGATTTGCTTAACAACCGTCATAAAAAGGTCACAAATCACATTCACATGACCGCAGGGGGTGGTGTGATGGTCCTAAGTGCATGTACAGGTTGTAAAGCACTTTTTCCGAGCCACTGTAACTTATACGAATGGTCATTAAGCGAGGACTACCTGTATTTTTCTGGTAGTACAATAGGAATTCTTGTGTTACATTCTTTAGAACGTACTGTTGTAAAGAATATATTGATGACTGTAGCTTAGGATATGGGCAAGCACAGTCATATATATGCATGTAGCGTTATGTATCCACATATACACTAAACCTCTCTTCCCCTATTTCTAGCGCTCTCAGTTCAACTAAATTGATAAGGAAGGAAGGTTACCTCCTACATTCATCATGCTATTTCCTTGCTTGTTTCTGACTTGCTGATGTTTTGTTCTCTTTGGAACAAAATACTGTAGCTCCATTCAAAATGTTCCATTGGACAGTTTTAACTGCCAGTATTCCCATAGAATATTCCTCAAAATATTTTGAGTGTTTTCTGTTTTGATGGAACAAAAGCCTGAAACTTCTGAATGTCCCACCATTCACAGTAATTCAAAACAGGACTTTTATTTCTGCTCCCTCGTTGGTTATCTTAGGCCACAAATGTAAGTGGAATAATAGTCCCTGCTTGCTGCTACCTACCATCCAACTGATCAAAAAGTTGGAAGACAGTGATTTTGCATTCCTCATAAACAGCCACAGAACTGAATTCAGCAGAGAAGCAGACAGCACTAGAGTCACTTTAACACAGTTCATGAATAACTTGGCAACTGCAAAAGTACACTTCTCTGCCTGTGAAAATTATACCCCAGTGTAATTTTGCATTTGTACCATGAAATCTCAAAATCACAGCAGTAACTGTAATACACATAATTTATGTATTGCATACTTCTGAATCTGAATTTCTGAAAAAGGAAGCTCAACACAGAGTATTCTAGAATGTTACATCTGCTTATCCAACACATTCTCACCCTGATTCCTGTTCTCTTATCCAGCTCCAGCCCGTAGGAGCAAAGATGAAGCCTGTCCCTATTTTCTCCAAGTCTATATGGTTTGGACCGCTTAAAACGGATACCCCCCCCCCCCTTCACAGATGTCAGGGCACTCAAAGCAACATGTATTGAACTCCCCCCCCCCATTTCATCCTAAACGCAGAACAGTTTTTTTTTCTCTGAGCCTAAACACTAAAATAGTTTGAATTCAGACCACTTTTCACACATATATGGATCACTATAGTAGGTGCTTAATGAATACTGTTTAATCACAAGTTTAAGACCAATGCGTCCAATTTTGAATTCATGAGAACTTTAGGTTGAAAATTAGCTTATATTGAAAGTAATCTGTCCTTTTCTTTCGCTGCCATTGGAAAATGTATATTTGGCAGGGCTTTTTACTAATAGCTGGTGAGAATCACTTTGAATCTTTTTCTTTTCTAAGAAAGATTTCGGATACAAGTTATTTAATATTTCGATGCTTTTCTTCTTTAGGTTGGTTTGGCTATCAAGCCAGGAACTACAGTAGAATATTTAGCACCATGGGCCAATCAGATAGACATGGCTTTAGTTATGACAGTGGAACCTGGTTTTGGTGGACAAAAGTTCATGGAAGATATGATGCCAAAGGTAAGTTTGACATATTATTTCAAAAAATGCCAGCAATGTGATAGAGTAATGGGAACAACCTTAAACATTTTGAGAATGTTCATACTAAACATTGATGCCTAATTTTTGCATATTATGGGAAAAATAATTACTGCTCCTGTTAATTGATGGTGTTCTTTCTGCATTGATAACTAGGTTCACTGGCTGAGAACCCAGTTTCCTTCTTTGGATATTGAAGTAGATGGTGGTGTAGGGCCAGATACTATACATAAATGTGCAGAGGTAAGACTAAAACACAATCCATGTTCAGATGAAAAATTGTTAGTTTTTGGAACTTGTTATCTAGGTAATCCAGTTTTTATATCTCGGTTTAGTACTTGACCTTTGTTTTTTTCATTTTGATTACATGCAGAAGCAATTTTTTTGCAAAACATTTGAGTATTCATTTTGTACTTTTGACAAACCTTGATGCTCCTTTCTGATTATGAGTAACAAGGAAAGTATAATTAGAAGTTCTGATCTGGCCAGTTGCTGCTTGTTTTCTGTTAGATTGTATGAATTAATATTTCACAATTTTCTTACAACCAGAAATTCATCATTGCATGTTTATTTTAAAAATTCTTATACAGTGTTATGGGATTTGTTTTCAGGCTGGTGCAAATATGATTGTATCTGGGAGTGCTGTAATGAAGAGTGACGACCCTAGAGCTGTGATTAACCTTCTGAGGAATGTGTGTTGTGAAGCTGCTCAAAAGCGTTCTCTTGATCGGTAAAATCGGGTTACAGCCAAATGGGTTGCATTTTACTGTTCTTATTATGGGTGGGTTGGGATACCATTGTGGAATAAGCAAGACAGCAACTCTGAAGACTCATTCTGTGACAGAAAAGCAAGCACAATACATAGTAAGAATGTCTTGTGAGCTTGGAGAAACTGTTTCTTGTTAGGGATTTCATGCAGCAGTTCGTCATGGAAAAGTTTTTTATTTTAAATGAAAATGTGGTAATTCCTTAAAATAAAATGATAAAAAATAAACACTTGAATTGGAAAAGTTTGAAGGGCGACTTGACCTTGAGCAACAATTTTAGGTCCGGTCCACTTTAAAACTAAAAAATGGGAGGATAAAAATGAGAAATTGAAGGATGAAAATAATGGAGCAGGAAGTCTGCTTCAATGTTCTCAATATGAAAATAACAAAAATAGCAAAAGTTGCAAACCATTAAGAAAAATAATCATGGGTATGTGATCTGTAAAACTGAGGCCTTTTAAAAATTGCCAATTGTAATTTTTAATATGACAGAAGGAAAAACTATTAAATACATTGAAAATAATTACATTAAATGTTTTAATTTAAATGTAGTTTTTTTCCTTGAATCCATCCAATTCTTGGATTGTACCCTCAGCCTGAAAAAAAGTGCATACCTAGGCTTTAAAGCAATGTTAATTATTCTTTCAGCTTATACAAGTTACCTGTAAATTGAAAGTGATTTATGTAAAATATAGATATATACACATATACACACACACACACTTTTGGCTCATCAGTTGATACAGATGTTTCTGAGAAATTTCATTGTAGAAGTACAGTTCTTACTATGAAAGTAGTTGATGAAATGTTATGATTTAAACATTTGGTGCCATGTAGAATGTCTTTTGAATGAAAAATAGTCTCTTCAAATCAAAATTGAAACATCTAATTACAACATTTCTATCCTTTTCTTAAGAGAAATATGGTAATGAAGACAAACATTGCAGTTCTCCTTCTAGTGGAATGTTTGACACTAATTTCTTTAATTGGCTTTATTAAGAATATATTTTGAAATGAAAAAAAAAAAGCTTGCTCCATTTTCTTCAGGCTGAAAAAACAGTGGGAAACAGTGTTGAAGAACAGGGATGTACAGTTTTTAAATGTTTTTTGTTGGTCCCCGTATCTTGATTTGCATGAAGAGAAATCAAAGAGCATTAAAGCAAGAATATATACAGAGCCTTTTTCTGCTGTTCAATTGTATTAAAATAAATATTTTTGACTCCAGGTCTGGGCAGATGAGGTAGTTAAATGTGTAATTTTTTGTTGTTGTTGGGATTGACAGCAAGCTTTTAGGGGCCTACCTTTGGCTTTGGGCCTCCTTTTATCTAATCTGCAAAGGCTGAAATCCTGTACTGATTTGACTAGGAGTAAGCTCCATTGAATTCACCAGAATGTTTGATTAAACATAAATAGGATTGGACTACGAAAAATTAAAGTTCATATATGGAAAGAATAATACAATACAGTTGTTTAGATAGGTCTTTAAATTCATTTAAAATAACTAAGTAAAAGTTAGCACACATACAACAGGACATCTATAATAGACCAAAGCAATGTATAATGTGTAAAAATTGCATCTCCTTCACTTGTCAGCAACTGGAAGAACAGAAGATACTTACAAGAAATTTATTACTATGAAAAAATAACTTACTAGAAAGAAGAATTCCATCTTTTGAATGATCAAAACCCACCTTTTGGCTAATTTTAATAAAGATGTAAGTCAGAACTAGCTCTGTTTTAAGAGTGAGAATCAAATCAACAAAATAAAAACCCTTTTTTAAAGCATGCATGTTTTTGTTTTTCAAATTCTGGCTGGATGCTCAATGTATTAGAAGTTATAGCAGTTTACATACTAAGAAGAATTGTGAGGAAGATTATCAGAAATCAGGATGACTGACAAAAATACAGACTTCAGTTTTGGAAAGCAAATCAGAGAAAAAAGTGCCATTTCATATTCATCACAATTATGTAAAACATTTGATGCCAAGCCAACAATATCTCCCAATCATGATTTGTGATAGTTATATACAAAATACTAAAGGGACACTATATTTATGTTCATTTTTTGTCACACATAATCCATTAACATCACACTGTAGTATAGAGAAATAACTTTTAATTTTAAAACCTTGCATTGAAAATTGGTGTATCAGAGGCAAGATTCAAAGTTAATTTTCTGGACAAAATATTTAAAAAGCTAAAACCAAAATATGCAGCAAACTACAATCTAACATAGGCTGTAGTATGGAAATGCAACTTAACATTTTTATATTAGCCAGTGTACTTCTAATCCACTGGGGACCATGGAACACTAACATTTGGCCATCTACCCATTAGAGCTTATTTTGGGAAATGACAATTTAAAAAAACATACTTAATAATGGTATGTTCATAAAAGTCATCAATAGTTCCTCATAGAAGAGCTATCTTCTTGAATTGGTATCAGTAAATGTACAGGGCAGTCCTGTGCAGTATCTATTCACCGAGCATCCCTGGTGGATGCAGATAACATTCCAATGCAGCATTTTGGAATTTGAATACAAAAACTGTTTTCATCTGTTTTCTCATTACCTAAAAGAGCTACTGCCTTGCTCATAATGCTTATATTTAAATGTCCTTTTTTCCAATATATTTTAAAGTACTGTAAGATACAAAAATGGATGCTCATAATCTGCTCATTGTAACACAATACATAGTGTTTGTAGCGATACAAAAGAGCTAAATAACTTGCAGTAAAAAAAACCAGTAGATTCTCCTACTTTAGAAATCTGAATTTCTCAGATATTTCTAGTACTTACATTTAAAATAATGGGGGGAGGGGGAGATCCATTGAAGTACAGAAAATTAAATCACTTAAACTGACTTTATCTCATGTGTAGTTTTAACTTGCCTAGACTAAATGAACTCAAGTATGTGCTCTGTTTATAAATTTATAGATTGTTGATTTTTCACTGGATAAAATGTTTTCCTTACAAAGCCCAGCACACTTGTATATTTGTGTCAGTCTCACACTTAAGACACTTGTTTAGTAGTTTTCTACCTTCAGTTGTAATCATTGCATTGCTAAATGCAAAGATGTATATTTTGCTGCATTGCAATAACTAGACACTTCAAATATTTCATCAAGATGGGGCAGTGATTTGTAGTTGCAGTTTAAGAGCATCCACTTTTCACATCAAGGATGATAGTCTGCCAGACAGAAAATATTCTTCTTGGGGTTCAGATAAATATAAATGGCCCTTGCATTCTCATCCTGCCTGTAAAAGAAGTCAGAAATTGATATTGTAAATGTTAATATTATGAAGCAAATTATTGGTTGAATGAGCATGAAAATATTTTACCTTACACCTTCCTTCAGCTTGATTTACTTTCTTAAACAAGCAACTTTACTATCTGTCACGTCTGTTTTCTTCCCAAGTAAATTTGGTGGTGGTCTTCCACTTCAGAGACAGAACTTTTCTTTTGTGGCTGGTTATCATTCGGAAAACTAAAGGCAGCATATGGGTTATGGTCAGAGTCTCTAAGAACAGACACATTTGAACATTCTTGGTGAACTGCTGGCTGACACTGGCATATTAAAGCTTCTACTTCTTCATTTTTTAGTGGAAAAGCCCGACGTTCCCAGAGAATAGTCTGACAGGGATGAAAGATAAAATAAAAAGGTACTGAAAATATATCCTGTCAATAAAATGTCCTATTCTGCACAATAACAAGTCTCTTCAAATATTTTTTTTTAACTTTTAGAAAAGTGTGTATCTTACCACTATTTTTAAAAAGATTAGTCACTCCCCTCCATTGCTTACAAATGGGAGGGGGGATTCTGTTACATTAATTTTCAAACAGATGTTGGAAAGAAATGTATAAGCAAGATATGCAAATAGCTGCAAATATCTCTGCTGCACAAATTGGATGCCCCTGAAGAGAAGCAACTACTATAGTGAGACTTTGCTGCAAACCTTTTATAATGACTAAAGGAGTTTTACTGCCTGCCTTTCCTTCCCTATCCCAGACTTGCTGGGAGGTGGGTGGCATATAAATTTGATAAGGTTGTAATTATCCAATTGCTTCTTCCCCTTACCTCATTTCCATCCAATTTTGTTTCCTCCTTCCTCTTCCCTAACCTTCCCCTCATCCCCTTTCCATCCTGTTTTCCCTACCCCACCCCCTTTTTCCTGCATCTGTCCAAATGGAAAGGAAGATTTTGTGTGTGTGTGTGTGTGTGTGTAAGAAAGAGGGGAAAAAAGTTACATACACTGGAAATCAATTCATTTTGCAAGTGGGGTACTTTTTGTACAGGCCATTAATTTAATTAGAAACAAATTCTCATTCTCTCATTAGTTCTGACCCTGATTTCCTTGGGTGTTGTGGCTTCCAGCACACATTCATATACAGATGTTTCACATATGCACATTATGAGGAAGAGGAGGAGTCTCCAAGACTGATTTCAACTGGAATTGGTAACTCTAGTTGACAAGGTTGAAAGCTGGGCACTGAGGGTTTTTTTTTTTTTTAACCTAGTTGTTTTTGGGTGGGACAGGTTCAGGGTTATCTTTCTTTGGAGTAAATATGCTACATATCTTGTACAAAATATTTGAAACTATTCTTAATTCTGATACTGGAAGCTGTAAAATATATAACACATCAGCTCTGAAAAGTTTACACCATGACAAAATAGGCCAGTTTTATTTAGAAGGTTTAATCAAATAGCTTGGGGAAGCCTCATATCATATAGTATGTATAGTACACACTACCCCAAAATAAGTCCCCATGAAATAAATACATAATGAGTTGCACTTCTCCAATACAATACTTTATGTTGTCTACTCAAAAGTAATCTCACTGAATATACCTGGTGTGTGTGTGTGTGTGTATTCTCCCAACTAAATCTTTAAAATTATAGCTAAGGAAAAGTGTGATTAGGAGACTTATATACAAAGCTAAATAAAAGCGCTCTGGTATATTAAACAGAAAAAATGTTTTAATGAAAGACAATACAAACACTTTATAAAGCAAAAGATCTAAGCTGGATTTTTTTTTTAAGTTGCTAAGTAGCTTACTTTGGTCCCTCTTTTAGCTGCTGTTCAGTACACTCAATAATAATTAAATGCTTATATTTAAATTGCATATTAGAGTATATATTACCTTTGACTGTTTTTTTCCTGAAGACTCTGATGTTCCCAAGTACAGAGAACTGTAGACTTCTGAAGTTATGTCTGCAGTGTTTTCAGAAATATAGCGTGTTAAATTAGAATTTGCTTGTTTTTCTTTCAGTGATGCATCTTGTTCTTCAAAATTTCTGCTATATGATCTATAATGAAATAAAATAAGCTCTAGTTTCTTTCACTAGAAATGATCTGATGAAAAAGAAGCTATGATGGAAAAAGTTATATTTCTTGGAATTCTCTAAAGATAAATCTAATGCTGAAGGGAACTTTTAGGAAACAAAAACATACACTTCCTACTATATACAAAAGTTTTTCCATTTTTATCAGTCTTTTAAACAGTCTATAATCTTTCTGTGATTCTATGTGTCCTGCCTCTTTTAAAATACTATTAAAATAAGATATTCCTTATGATTTCTCAGAATCACAATATGAGAAAAGTGCCAAAAGTCCAGTATTACAAAGTTAATATCCATGTGATCACATCTATGGAGCATATTTGTCTAGGTTTTACATTTTATTCCATTTTATTTTATTTATTCCATTGACTATATTATTGCTAAAAGGAGGTGGAAGAGCTTAATTATAGCATCAAAGACATGGCCAGGTGCTGACTGTGGAACAGATCATGAACTGTTCATGTGCAAGCTCCTTCTTCTAAAGAAGAAGAAAGCCAGTCAGTTTCCATAATATGATCTTGAACATTGCCCACCATTTTCAAGGAGGACATCAGGAATTGATTGGAAGTCCTGAATCTCACTGATAGAGAACCAGAGGAATTATGGAATGAACTTAAAGAAGTCATTAAGGATGACTGTGAAAAGAGACTGCCAAAAATGAAGAAAGAGAAGAAAGCAAACTGGATGTCAAAACAAACTCTGGAAATTGCCAAGAAGAGAGAAGCCAAAGCCAAAAATCTCAGAAAGGAATTTTACAAAGAGTTTCAGACAGCTGTTAGAAGAGACAAGAAGCAGTGTTACAGCAACATCTGTAAAGATACTGAGGATGGAAGCAGACACTGAAAAACAAGGAAAGTCTTTCAAAAGATCTCTGAACTCAGAAGAAGGTTCCAACATTGAATTAGTATGCTAGAGGATGCCAATGGACAGACAGTAACCAATACAAAGGAAATCAAAGGAAGATGGAAAGAATATACTGAAACACCATACAGTAGTGATGTCGACTTCCAAGATACCTTAGAAGATACTCCCTATTTACAAGAACATCTAGTACTAGAAGATGAAGTTAGATCAGCACTCTGATTATTACCAAGTGAGGTTACAGGAACTGATGCAATACTAACTGAAATATGGCAAGTGATAGAAGAAGAATCAGTCTACCCAAGCTTTGCCAGATAATCTGGAGAACACCACAGTGGCCAACTGATTGGCAGAGGTCAGTCTACATTCCAATACCCCAAAAAAGGAGACTTAACAGAGTGTGCAAAGTATCATACAATATCCTTAATTTCACATGCTAGCAAAATAATGCTTAGGATCATCCAACACAGGTTAGAGCCCTACATGGAAAATGAGATGCTAGATGTTTAAGCTGGCTTTAGAAAAGGCCAAGGAACATGAGACATTATTGCTGATGCATGCTGG